ACTTAGAGCTTCTGAGAATATCAAGACCTTTTTAAGGTAGTATAAAGTCTCCACACTTGTTCATGCCATCGGGTGGGTGCAATTTCCGTTGCTCCCCCAAAGCCTCATTGACAATCAGTGCCATTCCCTCAAGTTGATGCAATTCTTTGTGGCAGTGAAGAAACCACTGGCCCGGATTGTCAGAAAGGAAATTGATGACAACGTAGCCCCCGGCAGGGACCATAACTGTGTCCTTTCTGATCGTGCGGCGATTGATGGAAAAACACATTGGGTCTGTCTTCCACCTTGGTCTGGTACAAGCGCTTTTCACACACCCTTCTTCAGTACATTTGATATCATCGCAGTATATATCACTGTTGGGTTTTTGAACAAAACCAGTGGTGTCGTTATACTCTGGATATCCAACGGCAACAACATGAAACGTATGGCCGTGGAGGTGAATTGGATGAGCACTGGGGGTAGCACCAATTGATGAGAATACCATTTGAACAGTTTTGTTATAGTCGATGTCGATCACATGGACACATGAGCATTCGAGTGTCGATGGATTGCAGTCAGCGGTAAGGTCGCAGATCGTGCTACTTTTCCAAAAATCGTCATATTGGGTCTGAGGTGGAAAGGAGGGAAGAATAAAATTGCGCCCATTCACTGAACTAGTTTGAGATTGACCTTCAAAATGAAAGTTGACGAAATGTCTGCAATTTGTGCATCCTTTGGTGGGGTTTGCATCTGGAAGTTCTTCATGTGGAGTGAGCTCGAGTAAACGCAGGTCGTGTACATTAGTACATTTAATGTTATATGAATCATGAAATTTCTTAAAAGGGCAGTTCACCGCTTTGCATTTGTTCCATTTGAAGCACTTTCTGCGAGACTTTTCTCCCATTTTTTCATATTCAATCAAAGGTACATTATCAACCAGATCCCAATCTTTGTTATCCTGTTTGTAGTGCAAAATAGCTTCTGCCACATGTCCTAGTGACTCGTAGGGTGGCCCACTCCTAGTTTGATAAATTTCCATGGTCTCTGCACGTATCCAGTAGTTTTTACGTTTCTTGTTACTTTTCTTGTTTGCACTGAGTAAAAAGTCATATCTCTCTCCGGGATGGATCATGATGTAATCAACATTTCTTACGGGTCTAATCCAGTAGCCGTCAGTGTTGACAACAGTCAGTTTATGGCCCTCAATGGAGAAGCTGTAAGAATAAAGCGCTTGGGCTCCAATAAGCCGAAAGCGATATGTCTCTCCGGACTCAACAGGGAATATACTCAGTTTTGTTTTTTCGTATTCAACGTCATCATGTCTGCCTTTGCCATTTATGATTCCAGAAAAGTACGGCATAGGCCCAGCCCCTCCATTGTCAAAACTACGTGTACCGTTATACTTTAGATGATCTGGAGTTGGTACTTCACCAAGCGGCTTCTTTTCATAAAAGCCCAAGTCTGCATTGATCTGTGTGAACAGGTCCAAGGATGCCTCAAGTTGCCAGTCTAGAAGCGTTAAGGTGTGTTGATCTGGTTTGTCTTGAAAAGTAATGTTTAGTTTAGATTGGATTTGTTTCAACCTTGTTTCAGTTTCTTTGACTATCAGAGCACCATAGAAGCCATCTGTTCTTTGAGCACCACTGTGAGAGTGGTACCAAAACGTTCCAGAAGGCCGAGCGGTGTAATTGTATGTAAAGCTCGATGAGGGTCCTATCTGACATTGAGTCACTNACTTGTTAAATCCACATACTGGTCTTCGCCAGTCTTAGCAGAAGTGCGAATGGATGATATGTACCAATTTGCATCTCCTTGATTAGGAGCTTGTAGGCGAACTTCCTCGATGTGGGACATCGAAACGCACTTTTTGGGGCGAAAACGACTGGCGAAGTTCAGCTCTAGCACAGAGGATTGACTTTGTAGCTCATATCCTGCAAGTTCTGCCCGAATTTTTTGGTCTTGTGATAAAATGAAGTCAAGGAAGTAGCTCTTTCTCTCCATTTCCATGTCTCCCGTTGTCATTGCCTCCACACGTACGTAGGTGATACAGGTTCCTGCGACAGCATTGGTGAGGAGGTGCTCTTTGGCTTGGTATGGGTAATGATGTTCTTCATTGCCGTCCACCCACATACTGAAGCCTGGATCAGTGGTCAGCTTAGTGTAGACTTTGTTCGATCCCGCGGTGAAGGTGTCGATGGACGCAACGTACCATCCATTGTTTCTTTGAGCCGTGAGATTAACTTTTCTTATTTCTTTACTAGTGCAGATGAGTGGCGGATTAAAATCACTTTCGGTGTTCAACTCTTTTTCGTATTTATGATCTTGGTATTTGATTCCCTTGAGCTCCGCTTGATGCACTTTGTTATCATTCAGAATGACCTTCAGTACTAGGTTCCCTTTTGGCAGGTGAGCTTCTGAGTCATCTAGTGGTCGTTTACCCATCAATGCTACGACCTTCACAAAAGCGATGAATCCTATTACGAGAGAAAGTGCAAAAAAATAAATTTTGTTGCGTTGTCAAACAAGCAATCACTTTAATCTTTGGTCTCAAATTAGATGCTAAAAGTTGATATTCGCAAGAAATATTGAGAGGCGTAAATTTTTGGAACGGATCAGGCATCTTGTTTGATCTTTACTTAAGTGAGTCTCATAAATGGCAAAAAGGTTTTTCAAAACATCAAATTAGCGGTTCACTCTCAAAAATCGTTAAACGTGCATCCAAACTACCAGTGTTAACGTTTGACACCAGGCCTACGTGTTTCTATCTTCGAAAGTTTCAAGCAAAGAATAAAACCGCAGCCTCTAGGCTCATGGTTGGCGGCGCGGTGGCCTCATGGTTAGTGCGCTTCCGGTTTGAGTGGTCCAGGTTCGAGCCTTGGCCGTGGACATTGTGTTGTGTTCTTGGGAAAGACACGTTACTCGCACAGTGCCTCTCTTCACCCAGGATAATAAATGAGTACCGGCGAATTTAATGCTTGGGGGTAACCCTGCGATGGACTAGCATTCCATTCAGGGGGGAGTAGAAATACCCCTAGTCGCTTCGTGCTATGGAAACCAGATTTAAGCGCCAGTAAGATGGGCCACCTGGCTCGTAAGTAGGCCTTGCATTTTTTACCTCTCGGCCATAGTTCGTATCCTGTCTTTCATGCCTATCGAGTGCTGAAAATCATGCTACGCTTGCACTCCTGATTTGGAGAAAATACGTAGAAGTGCTCTACTCTCAAATTTACACATGCGATCATCTTTCATTGCTGTAAGTAACTGAGGTATTCTAGTATCTATAAGAAAGCTAAGATGGGAGGCTATTCATTGTCAAGAAGATTTTCTGCCCAGGAATTTACTCACTTTTTCCAGGAGTCTGAGAATCCATATTGGGAATCACTCTTGAGCTTTCGGAAACTTCTTTGGTTTCGTCTGAGGAGAGATTTAATTATGTGTGAGGATCTTCTATAAAGAAAATGTTTGCGGTTGTGATCATCGTTTACTTAGTCTCATTGGCCTGTTTTTATTGTTTTCCACCCATGCCCAATGGTCATTTGAAGCGCAACCACTCAAATAAAACTGAGTGTAGACTCCAGCTAAGGGTGGATTGGAAGAGAAAATCTATTCCTCTTTAAATCGAACACATCTGATTATGTAGAAGTGACGATGAAAATGATGAAACTGATGAAAATAATTAAAATGATGGTTTGACTAAAAGGAAAAATTACGGCTATAATTATGATAGCTCTAAGAAAATTGACAAACAAAATAAAAACGAGAAAAGTACGACTTACAGATATTTCCTCCTATTGACGTGGCCGAGTGAAATAACCGATGATTTAGAACATAAGCTTATCGCAACAAAGGCCAACACTGATATGTTATACATTGAAAAACGAAAACTTAAAAGCGTAATCAAACGAGTAAAGTGATCTGAAGATTAAGGGTCAAAATTTAAATAAAGGGTAACGCACGTAGGTGAGAGGTCACACACGTTTGAATCTTACACTGAGAATAATCTTTCAAATAAAATTTAATCCATGTTTGTCTCCAAAAATCATTGTTGGTAGCATTTTTTAGCGTGCTTTTGTAAATCAAGTATTCAATTACGGCAAAACATGTCGTTTTTCATTGTTTCTTACAGCCGGTAAAAAGCGATCAACCTGTATTAAGCCCCCCATTCCCCGTGGATGACCGCTTAATACAAGTTTGACTGTAAACAGAAATCTTATAATTAATCTCTAACACTTAAAAGTCCCCCACGCCCCTCCACCAAAAACTGTTGTCAGAAAGTAGTCACCATTTTATAACCCAAGGCAACAGTGAAATGGTGGAAGGAGAGAGAAATGAAAGGTACAAAAGAAAAATTCAATAAATGGTAGAGCGTTCCAAGACTTTCGCCACTCGTTCTAGTTGAGAAGTTCTACTGTGCCTAAATCATCCATGAACGAGGTCAATGAGAGCTAATGAGATTATTCTTATTTCTATGAAATGTCTCGCTCAGTGCTCCACTTACATTTGTTTGAAATTTGGAAATTCTGCTTAGGAAATTCCCCTGAATTTGCTAAATTGTCCTTGGATATGTCTGAGAAGAGAAACAAAACTCAAATTTATTTTCAACCAAACCAAAAGGTTAGAAAAAATTATAACAAACAGCCGTACCAACCACAAGTAAAGAAAGTGTTGCTAAATTAAATACTTTCCGCCAAAGTATGGACGAGTAAGCAACTCTATCCTGTGATCTGTGTAGTCCTTGGTGATTACAATACACAACTAGTTACCCTCTCTCTAGAAAAGTGATAGAGTCTGAATCTAGGGAGGCACGTGCGCATTCATGTGATCTTTTGGCCACCTTCTGGTTTATAGCTTTGCAACTATGAGGATCCCATANGGAGTGTTATTTACGAGTGTATATCATGGTTACAGCTTTTCTAACCTAGCATTCCGTTCTATGAAACGTCAGATGATCAGCAATTAATTCCACAGGCAAGTTTTGGAATGTATACGAACATGAATGTCTTGCTCAATGCTCCACTTACCTTTGTGAGAAGTTTTTAAATACTGCTTAGTAAATTCCCTTGAATTTTTTAGATCTTTTATGGGCTTGTCTAAGAAGAAAAAGAAAATTCAAATTGAGAACCAAACCAAAAGATTAAAAATGAAAAAAAGAAAGATGATCGCAAACAGCCGCACCAACTACAAGCAAAGAAAGTGTTAATAAATTACTTCCTGCCAAAGTTTGGCGAAAAAATTCAGGAGTAAGTAACTTTATCCTGTGATCTGTGTAGTCCTTGGTGCTTACAATACACAACTAGTTACCCTCTCTAGGGATGAAATATAGCCTAGTCGAGGATGGCGCGTGGGCAATTCATGCGATCATGCGCACGCCCGCTATCGCCCAAGGCTTTCTCTCTTTGTTAGTAGACTTACCAAATTGTTCCTCGATGTCTTCTACCACTCCATCCTCTTCATCCCCGTGATCATCTTTCTCTGGCTTACGCGGGAAACCTAGAGGAAAAAAAATAAAGTCCCACAAGTTTCGTTGGAGATCAAGCTGTCATTAAATTTTTAGATCTTTTCTTCTTAAATCTACCTACATAACTAATTCTCAACAGAGATGCATTTGGCTGAACCATGTTTTTGATAGTACTTCGGAGAAATTATTGAGTTCCGTGAAAACTTGAGCTTTGACGTTGCAAGCATCTCTAACAGACTGCCTACTAACAACTGATAGTACATACTAGAAACGAATCCTAGATTGTAACCATGTACTATGAATTGTTCCTGACGTAACTAAGCCTCGAGATGGGTTCCACAAGCACCATGGTCTGTTAGGGGTAAAACCTAACCTATCAGAACCCTTCAATCTCAGTATCATTTTCGTGGATCCTTATGAGACTGTAGCCATACAGGTGAAATAGAGATTCAACGATCGTTGAAATTCAGAGAAAAAATAGTTCTAAAACCATTTTTCTCTGAGTTTCAACGATCGTTGAATCTCTATTTTCTTCATTGTATTCATTTTCTTCATGGTATTGCTTCCGTCTCCAGTTGAATAGAAAGTATCAGAAACCTGGCTGATACTTTCAATAGAAAGTATCAGATTAAAAGTATCAGCCAGATTTCTGATACTTTCGATTGAACTGGAGACAGGAGCAATACAATGAAGAAAATGAAGGTCGGGAGTCGTGAGACAGAGGGGATGTGATCCACTTATCTACTACCTTTGTCTCTCCCCCCACCCCCACCCAGTCCCCTTATGATCACAAAGGAGATCAAGAGATTCGAGTGAACTTACCTTTATGTTCTCTGATGTATTCTTCCTGTCTCGGATCTGTTCAAACCAGAGACAAATTAAAAATTCAATTACCTCAGTTCCACAATGATACAAGACTTGCAGACAGAGTTACAAACAATTCTTTTGCTATTAGAAGACTCATGAATTCTCAACAAATGAAAAACAAAAGATATCTTGTCACCAATATGAGGCGGGAGGTTGTTCCCAACAGAGCACTTTTACTTTTACTTTTATACGCAAATCATGCCTCATTGCTTTTTGGTAAACGAGTAAAATAACCGTATCAGAAAAAAACTTTATAGGCAAGTAAGGGGATAAAAAAGTTCCTCGTAACCTTTATATTTATTTCAAGGAGAGTGTTGGTGCTCGTTAAAAAAAAAAAAAAAGGATTCTAATCATTTTCTCAAATGTAGCCAGTTGAAGAGAGAATGGATGATTTCAATAATTTCAGCTCCACGCTAATCAAAGACTTGAAAGAAAATTAAAATTGCAAAGTGCACTGTATTCAAGCTCGTGTTTAAGAACAATAAGAATTTCACTGCACGAGCATATACGAGTATGAATCCGAAGGTCTGGAGTTCGATTGTTCATGCGGACTTTTCCATTGTCCGACGCCCGTGAAAAGATGAAAAACATCTTTCTTAATTTCTTTTTTGTGTGGGTAAGCTAAAAGCGTTTATCGATCACATCAATTTTTTTTATCTGAGAGGCGAGAGTTTGTGCATCGTAAGGGAGTGTTATTTACGAGTGTATATCATGGTTACAGCTTTTCTAACCTAGCATTCCGTTCTATGAAACGTCAGATGATCAGCAATTAATTCCACAGGCAAGTTTTGGAATGTATACGAACATGAATGTCTTGCTCAAAGCTCCACTTACCTTTGTGAGAAGGTTTTAAATACTGCTTAGTAAATGCCCTTGAATTTTTTAGATCTTTTATGGGTTTGTCTTAGAAGAAAAAGAAAATTCAAATTGAGAACCAAACCAAAAGATTAAAAATGAAAAAAAGAAAGATGATCGCAAACAGCCGCACCAACTACAAGCAAAGAAAGTGTTAATAAATTACTTCCTGCCAAAGTTTGGCGAAAAAATTCAGGAGTAAGTAACTTTATCCTGTGATCTGTGTAGTCCTTGGTGCTTACAATACACAACTAGTTACCCTCTCTAGGGATGAAATATAGCCTAGTCGAGGATGGCGCGTGGGCAATTCATGCGATCATGCGCACGCCCGCTATCGCCCAAGGCTTTCTCTCTTTGTTAGTAGACTTACCAAATTGTTCCTCGATGTCTTCTACCACTCCATCCTCTTCATCCCCGTGATCATCTTTCTCTGGCTTACGCGGGAAACCTAGAGGAAAAAAAATAAAGTCCCACAAGTTTCGTTGGAGATCAAGCTGTCATTAAATTTTTAGATCTTTTCTTCTTAAATCTACCTACATAACTAATTCTCAACAGAGATGCATTTGGCTGAACCATGTTTTTG